GTATCACATTCCCTGCCCCCCTGAGTCAGCCAGTCCCCAGAGTGGCCAGGCCTGGGGGCGTGGCCGGGGGCGGGGCCTCACCTGTCTGGCTTGTTTCTCCTGGTCCCGCAGCCACTGCAGGTAGGACTCTCGGGCCACCTGCTCCTCAATGGCCTCGTTCGTGGCCTCCCAGTCGGTCGCTCGCTTCTTGTCCTCCAGCATCTGCTGCTCGATCCACGACTCCTCCGACGTCTTGATGGCGCTTTTCATCAGCGACTGCTCCGCGTACTGGGGCGGAGAGGCGGGGTCAGGGAGCCCCGCCCACAGAGTGCCCATCCCTGTCTGTCAGACACCTGCCTCCAGCCCCGCCCATCACATGCCTGGCCCTGTCTCCAGCCCCCCCCCCCCCCCAAGCATGATACCCCCCCCCCCCCCCCCCCCCCCCCCAGCCCCCGCCCCCCCGGAAGCAGAGAGCCCATTGGCTGACAGGCAGCCCCAGCCCCGCCCCACTCACCCCTGGCTTGAAGGAGGGCAGCCCCAGCCCCACGCCGATGGTGGCCTTGTTGGGGTTCACCACGGAGTTGTAGTGGATGTTGCGGTGGTAGGAGACCCGGATGGGCTCGTCCTCGTTCTGTTGGATGCCGTGGAAGGTGTTGATGGGCTCTGCGAGAGGCGGGCACAGCCTTGTTAGCAGGGAGAACCCAGGCGTCCGGGCTCCCAGCTCCCCGGCCCCCTCAGAGCTAGGGAGAGAACCCAGGAGTCCTGGCTAATAGGACGAGCCGGAATGTACCATCTTTGGCCTGGGAGTACAAGGGAGTCCCTGGAGGAAGAATCTGGCTCCGGGGGTGTGTGTGTGTGTGTGTGTCAAACAGCAGGGAGTTGTGTCCCCCACCCCCACCCCGTGAGGCGGGAGCCCTGAAACAGCCCCACAAGCCCGAGTCAGCCGGGCCAGGCCCGCCGGTTGGGTTTTACGCGGTGTCGATCCGGCCTCTGCTCCTTTGGAGCTGGGATTTCGGTGATCAGCCGGCGCCGGGGGCTGGATGTCACCTGGGGGGGGGGGCTTAGAGAGGAGTCGGAAGACTGGGGGGCTCCTCTCGTTACCCTGCCAGGCGGAGACGGGGGCTGAGCCAGAGCAAGACCGGGCCCCCCGGTACCTGTGCCATACTGGTACACCTCCACGGGCCGGTTGTACATCTCCGCCATGGCCTGCATCTCAATGTGGTTGCCGTGGCAATTGTTTTTCCGCTTCCGGTTGATGTAGGTGGTGAAATCTTCAGTCACATAGTTGGAGAAGTAATCGGCATTCTTCATCTGCAGGGGGGCCGGAGAGAGACTGTGATACAGGGCAGGGACTGGCCAGCTGGGGGGCGGGGAATGGGGCAGGGGCCTGTCCCCTCTGGTGGGGGGCGGGGAGCTGGCGCCAGGGCAGGGACTAGCTGGCTCAGGGGGGCGGGGAATGGGGCTGGGGCCTGTCCCCTCTAGGGGGCGCCGGCTCCCATCCGGCCCCAGGGCAGGGACTGGCTGGCTCAGGGGGCGAGGAATGAGACATGGGGCCCGTGGGGCCACCCTGGGGATCCCCGGAGTTCTGTCCCCCCGCCCCCGCTCACCAGGTAGTCCATACAGTGCTTCCGGACCACTTCATGCATGTCCTGGTCTCCGTAGACCTGGTCAGCTGGAAGAGAGGAGAGGGGTGTCGGGAGATGGAACAGGAGACGCGGGGGGGTGGGGGGACATCACGAATGGCCACAGTGGGGCAGACCCAGGGCCCATCCAGCCTGCGTCCTGCCTGGCGTCAGGCGCTGCACAGGGAATGAACCAAACAGGGCAATTCCCGAGTGATCCAGCCTCTATCGCCCAGTCCCCGCAGCTGGCTGTCAGAGGCTAGGGACACTTGGAGCGGGGGGCTGCGGCCCTGCCCATCCTGGCTAACAGCCACTGACGGACCCCCCTCCAGGAACTTGGCTAGCTCTTTTCTGAACCCAGTGATCGTCCTGGCCTGCACAACATCCCCTGGCAAGGAGTTCCACAGGTCGACAGCGTTGGGTGAAGAAATACTTCCTGTCGTCTGTTTTAAACCTGCTGCCTGTTCATTTCCTCAGCAGATCACTAGTTCGTGTGTTACACGAAGGGGTGAAGAACATTCCCCTGTTCACTATTCCCAGCCCCGTCGTGATTTTATAGACCTCTGTCACATCCCCCCTTAGTCGCCTCTTTTCCCAGCCGAACCGGCCCCGGCTCTTCAATCTCGCCCCGTACAGCAGCTGTTCCATCCCCCGATCCTTTTTGTTGCCCTTTTCTGCACCTTTTCCATTTCAAATAGATCTGGTTTGCGATGGGCGACCGCACCTGGGCGCCGCCTTCAAGGTGTTCCCAGAGCAGCACTAGGATATTCTCTATCCCTCTGCTCACAGTTCCTAGTACGCGGCACGTTGAGCGGCTGTTTTCACCGTGCCGCCGAGCTCTGCTCCTGGAGCAGGAAGAGCGAATTTCCACCCCAGTGGTCTGGGGGCACGGCTGGGATCTAGTTTCCTTTGTGTGTCTCAACGCTGAATTCTGCTCGCTCGCCCGGTTCGGGGACGTCCCTTTCTAGCTCTTTGCTGGCTGCCGGGGACTCGACTCTCTCGAGTCGTTTGGTATCGGCTGCAAACTGCCCGTTTGCCCCTTTGGGAATGTGTTGAACAGCACCGGTCCCGGCGCAGCCCCCGGGGGGACCCCGCTATTTACCGCTCCCCAGTCTGAACACCGACCATTCACTCCCACCCTCTGTCTCCTGTCTAACCCTGGCACTGATCCAGGAGACCTGTCCGGGGAGATGCCACCTGGAGTGCAAGGAAATCAAAAAGGCAAACTCCTAATTACAGACTGCCAGCCCCCGGCTCTAACCACTAGACACTGGAGTTAGAGCAGGGGGGGCTGGGCGCCAGGACTCCTGGGTTCTCTCCCCGGCTCTGGGAGGGGAGTGGGGGCTGGTGGTTAGAGCTGGGGGGGGCTGGGAGCCAGGACTCCTGGGTTCTCTCCCTGGCTCTGGGAAGGAAGGGGGTCTAGTGGGTTGGAGCAGAGCGGCTTAGGGCCCAGGACTCCTGGGTTCCTCGCCTGTCCTGGATACAGCTGGTGTACAGGGTACCCCATGAGGCCTAGCACCTTGACGTGCTGAGTGCCGCATCATGGGAGCGAGTGACTCACCGCCCCCCGCTGCAATGTAAACAAGGATGTGGGTTTTGAGGGGTGTTGGGGGGGGGGGCCTTGGCCGGCAGCTCCCGTCAGTCACATGGGGACCCGCTGGGTTTCCCAGAAGCCTGCGCTGCGGTCGGCCCATACGTTATTTATACCCACGCTCGGCAAAAACGCGCTGCGGGCTGCGAAGGGGCACACGAAAACAGGAAGCGAAAGACCACAGCTGTTTGCCCCCCTCACTATTCCCCCCCCCCCCAGTTACTAGGAGGCGGGGCCAGAGCTAAGGGCAACTGAGGCAAACAACAGCCAGACTTGAGAGGGAAACAAAGAACAGAACCCAGGAGTCCTGGTTCCCAGCTTCCCCCACCCAATGCACTAGACCCCACTCCCCTCCAGAACTGCAGAAGGGCGGGGGGCACTGGGAGCCAGGACTCCTGGGTTCTCCCTGGCTCTGGGAGGGGAGTGGGGGCTGGTGGGTTGGAGCGGGGGGGCTGGGAGCCCGGACTCCTGGGTTCTCTCCCTCACTGATGATGCCTGGAGCAGGGAGGTCCCCGAGCGAGATCACTAGGTCTGCTCAGGGCATCGTTCTGCCCGCTGTACATTGAGCGCCAGAGTTTAGCCGGCTGCGGAAATGCCCAGGGGCGCAAGAGAAGCCAGGAAACTCCTCCCCCGAGCCCGCGTCACCCCCCACTCTGCCCCCCGCCAGGTCCCCTGGCCTGCTGACAGACCCCCCCAGACCAGAGGGGGAACGCGATTTGCCCCAAACGAGGCCAAACCAACAATCCCCTTTTCTAGCCCCTCCAGCGGCAGCCGCTTGTCGTCCCTCGGGCGGCTCCTCACGGCCGAGCCCCCCAATTCTTCGCTGTCATCTCCCCTCCGACCCCCGCCCACGACGCCTCCAGCCCAGGCCCCCGGCGCGTCTCCCTCCCGCCTCGGAGCCGCGGTCCAGGAACAGCTGATCTCAGTGGAGGAGACGGGCCAAGCGCGGCTCACTTGGGCTGAATACAGAGACTTGCCAAAACCCGAAATTCATGGCTCCTGAGGCCAGACGGGCTGGTTCTCTCGTACGCCCCGAAGTAACCCCAGCGTGGGGCCCTGGGAAGCTGGGGAATTGCTCCCGTCCCGGTGAGAAAGGGGCGGTGCAGGAAGGGTTGCGAAGCAGAGAAATGCCACTTGGAGGAGAGCCGCTGTTCGGAACTGGAAGCTGAACCGAGTGAAAAGAACCGGGGGGCCCCCATCCGGGGAGCACATCGCCCTGAAAGGGGCCAAGGGGTTTTGATGGCCCTGAACGGACGCTGGTCTCGGTGCGTGAGACTTTGAGAGTTTTCGGCCAAGGGCCAGAACTGGGTTCACCGGTCCGGCATCCAGCTGGCAAGCGACAAGGTTCCCGTCTGCTTTCCCCTCCACGGCCCAGAGCGCGCCATCTCCAGACGCTACTGAAACATGTCGAATAATGTACAGCGCCTGACACAACCCAGAATGCCGAGACGCTACCGTAATACACCTAATATACCATGCACCGCGCCCGGCACAACGGGTCCCCAGCGCGCCGAGACGCTACCGTAATACACCTAATATACCATGCACCGCGCCCCGCACAACGGGTCCCCAGCGCGCCGAGATGTTACCGTAATACACCTAATATACCATGCACAACGGGTTCCCAAACCATGACGGACACACCTTGTATAACAGGGGCTCCTACAAGTGCCAGCTGAGACGGGGGACTCCCGTTATGCCAGGTGCTGCACAGACAGGCCCACCCGGGGAGAGATCAGAGCCCCACCCGCTCCCCATCTCCCACCCCAGTGAGATCAGTGCCTCGGTCTTCGCTCGGTGCTGGACAGGCCCCATCGCACGGGGCACTACCCAGACCCCCTGCCCAAACCAAGACGGGGGTTCCTGTTAGGCCAGGCACCGGGCGGGTGCTGCGCAGACACACAGCGAGAAACAGTCCCGGCCCTGGAGAGTTTCCAGTCGACACAGACAAACGCGGGAGGAGAAACAGAGGCACCGACAGCAGGGCTGCCCAAGTTCCCCCAGCCCGTCTGGGAATAGAACCCAGGCGTCCGGGGCCCGGTGCTGTCACCGTGTCACCAGATCACGCCGCGCCAGTCAAAAAGCATCTCCCCCCGGATTGAAATTCTCACCTACTGACTAATAGATGGATCGAGGATGGGAGTGATTGCTCTCTCCCGGAATACACTGATGGCTCCCCGGCTACCTCAGCAGCCATCTCTCCGTAGATTTATTCTGACCACCTCGCCGCAGCCCTCTCAGACCTCTGTCCGGGTTTCCAGCCAAACAAATTAACCGCTCTTTGGGGAATCAACCCACGTGGGCGAGTGTGAAATCTACAGATGCACCTGGCAACGCAGGGTTAACAGTACACAGGGTGGGGACACCCAAAAGGATCGCACAGCTTAAAGGGATTTAGAAATTGTTCGCCAAGATGCAGCCACCTCTAGGGCAGCAACAGAGGGTCCTGTGGCACCTTTAAGACTAACAGAAGTATTGGGAGCATAAGCTTTCGTGGGTAAGAACCTCACTTCTTCAGATGCAAGTCTGTTAGTCTTAAAGGTGCCACAGGACCCTCTGTTGCTTTTTACAGATTCAGACTAACACGGCTACCCCTCTGATACTCTGGGGCAGGGCAGCTGGGCAGCAGTTCTAGCTCCAAGTCAACACTCACTACTGGAGCTATGAATGTAGTGAGAGCCAGGACTCCTGGGTTCTCTCCCTGGCTCTGGGAGGATGGGGGGAGCCAGGACTCCTGGGTTCTCTCCCTGGCTCTGGGAGGGGAGTGGGGTCTCGTGGTTAGAGCGGGGGGAGCTGGGAGCCAGGACTCCTGGGTTCTCTCCCTGGCTCTGGGAGGGTGGGGGGAGCCAGGACTCTTGGGTTCTCTCCCTGGCTCTGGGAGGATGGGGGGAGCCAGGACTCCTGGGTTCTCTCCCTGGCTCTGGGAGAGACTGGGGTCTAGTGGTTAGAGCATGGGAGTGTCAGCATGTCAGAGTCCTATCCCTGCTTCGGTCATTACCTGCTCCTCACCCTCTGCTGTGGCGGGGGAAAGCAGTTACCCCCCAGGGGCGGGAGGGGCCCAGTGTATGTAAAGTGCCGGCTATTCTTAGCACCCAAATTCCCCATTGTGGCTGGAGGAAGAGGAAAAGTCAGTAACCGCGAAGGCAGGCCGGCCAGTGGTGCATGCGGTGCTTCCGCCCCCCCCCCCCCCCGCTCCCTGAGCGCGCACACCCCACTGCGCGGCCGTTCCCTGGCTCCCCTGCCCCAGAGGTGGCTGCAGCTCAGCGCCAAGGGAGCCGGCCTTAGGGGTCCTTTGGAATGGAAGACGAAGCAGTAGAAATGGGGAGGAAGGTCCTATGGGCTCAGTGGGCTGGGGGGGGCTGGGAGCCAGGACTCCTGGGTTCTCTCCCCAGCTCTGGGAGGGGAGGCTGGTGGGTTAGAGCGGGGGGGCTGGGAGCCCGGACTCCTGGGTTCTGTCCCCGGCTCTGGGAGGGGAGTGGGGCTGGTGGGTTAG